ATGTGTTTAACTTTGAAAATGTGGGCGCAATTTTAATTGTCAAAAACTCCAGCGAACCAGTAGTTCATTTTGCTCAAATAGAAATAGAGGCCTGCCTCTAATACTGGCCCTCCTTCCAATAAAGGCCTGGAGCTTGATGAGCTTGAGTCAAATACAGGCCCGGGCCTGTATTAGAGGATTTATGGTACATACATACAAACATGCATACACACACACACACACACATACATACATGAATGCAATATATTAAATCTCTTTCTGTTATTTTAAACAGGTTTTGGAAAGAGTTTAGCAGTTTTGTTATGAAATTCATGTTTCTTACTACCTGTATTTTTATGAACATGGTAACATAATTTCCATAGTCGTCTGACAACCATCTGGCGTGACAACATCGGAAGGCACAGGACCCCAAGCTGGCCAGAAGGAAGCATGGCATCTAATAGCGTGTTCCCCAAAGACACTAGACCTGTGCTCTGTGTACTTTAGAACCAATATGTTAATTAAATGTTCTGAAGCCACCTGGACTGGACATTGTTCTGTTCATTTTCAACAGAATAACATTAAGAATCTCGATATCTTGTTCACGAGTGAGGGAAAGATGAAGCATGAGGTCGATAGGCAGCTTGAGGCTGCGTCTGCAGTGATGTGGGCGTTGTACGGTCTGTCGTGGTGAAGATCTACGTTCCTACCCTCACCTGTGGTCTATGCCTCTCTGCTAAGCCTGCTGCTCCCGTGACCTGACCCTGGATAAGCGGACAATAGTAGATGGATGGATGAACCGTTCTAAGGGATGTTTTTTGTTCTGGTGATTAGAAGTTCAGGTCTGCTATCAGAAGTAAAAGAAAGATCTCCAATCATGCTTCTTTCACTGAGTAGAATCTTCTACCTCACCTATTTCACAGTTGGTGCCCAGATATCCGGTCCCTGTGCAGTCACATATGTAGCGGTTCCAGCCTTCCTTGCACAGACCTCCGTTGCTACATGGGGCACTGCTGCACCTCTTCTGCAGCTCTCGGGTGCAGAAGCTGCTGACACCCAGAGCACTCTGGATCTCAGCCAGGCGACGGACATCACGACTCTTGCCATCAATGAAGAGGTCACGAACACAGCCAACGTAACCGTAGTTGAGGAGTGCTGTCCAAACCTCTGGTGGTAGGATGAGCTCTGACTTGGTCTCAGGCAGTCCGCCCAGGTACATATCACTATCCAGGTCCAAGATTTCACTGCCCTCTGGAGACATGAAGGGCATGCTACGGCTGTTGACTGAGATGGATCCTTAAACAGAAGAGGAAGGTCAAACAGACAACTTGAATTATCTAATAAAGAAAGGAGATGAGCTGATTAGCACCAGGTACATTTTTGTTTAACTGCATCCATCTTCCAGTACATGTGAAAGAAGACTGGATGGGTGCTGAGCTAGTGGGAGATCAAGAGGGTGAGAAGCTAATCTATGGGTAAAGAACTAAAAAGAGAGGAACAGCAACCAGGGAGAAGATGACAGCCGACTGTGTGAGTGCACGTGTGTCTAATGTGTCTATGAAGGTCTAAATGGAAGAGAAGGGAAGCAGAATGCAGCCGGGAGTGGGCGAAACAAAAGGCCTCTCTCCTTCTGTGATTAACGACTTCATCTTAATTTTCTATTAAAAGCCAATTACAGCAGAAGCAGCGGTGAGATCGCTTGCCCACGCACACACACACACACACCCTTCCTCATTATAGGACACCATTAGGAGGAGATATCATGGCCACAATGTGCTATAACACCTAGAGATCATTCATCCGACACCACATAATGAAGCAGAGAGGTGCTGGAGTTTGAGACCACAGACAGGTGGAGGCATCCTGAGGTATCGCCCAGCTTTGAAAAGTACATCTACATAAAAATGCACCACAGGCTTCATCCTCCTCAGTGTCTGTAACAGCGACTGAATTAATACGAGACTCGGGACGGCTCAGTTCAGCCCTCATTCCTTCTAATGTGTGACCTAAACACTAAAAACATACTCCACGGAAATACTTTGACCAGATATGTTTAGTTGTCAGGCTCATACTAGTCTGTACCTTTTCTCCCTTCCCTCTGGAAGTCTACATGGCACCATTCTCCATCGTTGACCTTCTTGTTGCTGGCCTTCAGCTTTGTTTTTCCAGAACCCATATCGATCAGTAGGTATAAATATCCATCCAGAAGTTCCATGGCAAAGTAATCCGTCTTCAGTTCCCTACCAGGCTTCTGCTCTTTAGGACCCTGAGGGCGGCCGTGGCTGAACAGCAGCAGCCCGCTGGGTTCTGTGGTACGGAAGTCAAAAGAGATAGAACCTGTCTTCTTGGTGTTCCACTTGGGAAGGGAGATGTAGGACTCCGGGCTTTCAAACGTTACAGGATCCAGCGCTGCTACGTCCTCACAGCGAAACACCAGGTCCCCGTTTAGAGTGATTTTGGGGTCACGGTCGATGGCCAGCCGAGAGAGCTCCAGCTTAAAGTCGTTGTTTTTGTAAACCACCTGGAGAACAAGGGAGACCCAAAAGGATTAGTGTTATGATGTTAGAGACGCTAACCCTAGACCCTAACTGGTGACTTTCAACACATCCATGGTTCTACATATGAGGACATAATAAAATAACACAGCTGATACTGAACATCTTAAATGCCCTGAAATGGTGGACTTAGCCGCCAACCCCCACACCCCCACCCCCCCAGCTTCATGAATACCAACATCACGTAACGATGGGGATAAAACCGAGTCTCTCTTGGTATCTGAAATGAGATTTGACTAACTTAGATGATTACTGTTGAATGTTGGTTTGTTTTGTGTCCTCATGTAGAATGAATGATGAAAATGTTATTTTTGTGCTTTTTTAATGATTAAATGAAACCAGAACCTCCTAGAACAACAGCAGAGACACTTTAGTTTGACTGCTAGTTCTTATCCAGAAACCAAAGGCAGCTGCAGGCAAACACACTCCATACCTAACATTAAAACATATCCTAGTGCATGCTTTAGAGGCTCACGAGGAAACCCAGAGTGATACAAATATGGGAAGGTCTGACATGAATGATGAATTTGTTTTGACTGACAGTTCAGATTCAGCCTTTGCTGAGCAGAAGCTGCAGGAAATCCCCCAACAAACATTGGACCAAATAAACGTTATTGATGCTAAATCACTTATTATGGAAGTATTTCACAGTTCAGACTAGACTCACCCAGCGTCCACTCAAGGCTCATGAGTTGCTTTCATGCATTTAATTGATGAGATAAGAGTTGTGTCGGTGCACAGCACTCCAGTGTACCGGCCTCTTAATTACACTGTTTGAACTCCTCAAAACGTGTGGAAACTATTTGATGTGGTACATGAAATGAAGCTTAGAAACACAAACAAATGTGCACATTAAACCGGCATGAAGAGCTAAAAAGGCTCCCGGGAAAATCCCAGAACACAAAATACGGATGTTGCCCACAGCATTAATGCAAATGTCTCAACAGCCCTTTGATGAAATATTCTGTCGCTCTATGGTTTTATTCTCAAAGTGGTTGTGTGTGTGTGTGTGTGTGTGTGTGTGTGTGTGTGTGTGTGTGTGTGTGTGTGTGTGTGTGTGTGTGTGTGTGTGTGTGTGTGTGTGTGTGTGTGTGTGTGTGTGTGCGCGTGTGTGTGTGTTCTCAATGAATTAAAAATCAGAAACAAATTCTTGTCTTCCCTATTTTTCTGTCCATGTGTTGAACACTGCACATCTGCTTTGAAGAGGCCATCTTTCAAGGAAACAGCATCAACCAGCGAGGTCCTCAGTTGGTGCTTTTCTCTTCATGTGTTACTCTTCACACACTCTCTCACACACCTACACAAAGCTGCGGACAGCCGATGAAGGAAGAAAGGCTTTTCTGCATTCCCATATTAGTTTTATTCTGCTGTTCTCGGAGCTGCAGAGCAACATAGACGGTTCTGTCACTGCAGTGTCCTGTCAGCAGATGTGCTCCGGTGAAACGTGACAGAGCAAAAACACAAACATGTTTAGCTAATAAACCTGCTTATTACTGCTAGAAAAGCCTTCTTGCTTTCACATGCACCAGGCTAATCAGCCGTGTTACATGTGTTTACCCCGGAATGCCAAGTTCATAAGCACTTCATATTAGATCTACAACGTTCATAAATAATAATCATCAGGAACTCAGTTCACCAGCAGGCACTCATTTTAGTTTGTCCAGAATTAGACATCACATACAGAAACGATGGATGGATGGATGGATGGATGGATGGATGGATGGATGGATGGGTGGGTGGGCGGGTGGGTGGATGGATGGATGGATGGATGGATGGATGGGTGGATGGATGGGTGGATGGATGGATGGATGGATGGATGGATGGGTGGATGGATGGATGGGTGGATGGATGGATGGATGGATGGATGGGTGGATGGATGGGTGGATGGATGGATGGATGGATGGGTGGGTGGATGGATGGATGGATGGATGGATGGACTGGTGATTAACCCTCTGAGGCTCAAAATAAGTTGTGATAGAAGGACGAACACCTAAGTACTTCAGGGGTACTTCTGAGTTAAACAATACTCATTAATACGTGTGAGGAGTAAGCAGGTGTGTAGGTTTTAACGTTGCTAATCTGCCTCCAGAGGGTTAAAACACAAAATAAAAACGATGAGAAACAATGAACCACGTTTATTCTACTGCTGATTTGACCCTTAGTTCACGTTAAATTGAGATTTTACCCTAAAATAAAGAGAATGAACGTAGAAACAACAGTTCTTTAGTAGCTGTTCTCCTGCCCACCTCCAGCTGCCAATGAAAGCAGTGTTTTCCTCTAATCCAGCAACGTGCTGGTGTCACATTACAGCACGGCTATCATAGCTCTACAACAGCGATCGGTGGCTATATGAAACCATATCAGTCTGATACGATCGATAAAACACACCATGATTAAGACCTCAACCCCACATGTTCTACTCAAGTCTGCATCTGAAGATCCCTTTTTAAAACCCATTCATGTAACTAAGCAGATGTTTTCATCTAAAGTGGATTCCAGGCGAGGCAGATCAGTATCTCACTTAGTGACCTTTCAGGAGGGACTCGGGGGACTTGAGAACTGAATCAGCATCTTTTCACTTTAACAACCTCTAAACATATCGATTTGAAACGGTCAAAATAATCTTTATTCCCTCCACAAATTCAAGGAAGTCAAAACCATATATATATATGGTATATATATATATATACCATATGGTATATATATATATATATATATACCATATGGTATATATATATATATATATATATATACCATATGGTATATATATATATATATATATATATATACCATATGGTATATATATATATATATATATATATATATATATATATATATATATATATATATATATATATATATATAGTATATATATATATATATATACCATATATATATATATGAATATTTCTGTGAATGTCATCACTTTTATTTACTGGAACCTTAAAATATAATAATACAATATAAAATACAATACAATACAAAATAATATAATATAATATTATAATATAATTTTTTATAATGTAGTGTAGTGTAATGTAATGTAATATAGTATAGTATAGTATAGTATAGTATAGTATAATATAATATAATATAGCAGGGGTCCCCAACTAAAACAGCAAGAGGTCCACTACCTCCATCACCAAATGTATCCTGAGTCCGAAGATTTTAAATCAATCACACACAGAGTTGTTCTTTCCATGTAATCTCAAATTCAGATCATTGAGATGTTCTGTGATGTCAAGAACAAAAGCTACTTTGTCCACATTTTTCTCGTCCTCCAGAAACTGCAAAAAAAACTCTGGCCTTGTGACTTTGTTGTTGTGACAAGAACTGTTGTATTTCGTGTCGTAGACCCCAGAAGTGTGCAAGCACTCTGCCTTTGCTTAGCCACCTAACACTGGAATGCAAGAGTAAGTCATTAGCCTCTGCATTCACCTCTGCTAAAAATTCACGAAGCCGACGATGCTGATGAGATGAAGAAGCACGGAGAAAGTTAACAAGTTTAGTGACTGTGTCCATTACCTCAGCATATTCCTCTGAGAGGGAGGAACACAGAACAGACACATGAATAATACAGCGATATGACAACAGGTCCGGTTTGTCCTCTTTTAGTCGACTAACTGCACCGTTTTCTCGTCCTATCATTGAAGGTGCCCCATCAGTAGTAACAGAGACAACATCTTTCAGATTAATCCCTCTTCCAGTCAACATTTCTTTAATTGCTGAGTAAATATCCTCCCCTCTGGTGTGTGTTTTTAGTGCTGTGATGCCTAAAAGATCCTCCACAAAACCTCTACTGTCTTGACAGAATCTGACATATACCAGAAGCTGGGCGTGGTCGTTCTCATCTGTTGATTCATCAGCTGCCAACGATATGCACGGAGCACTCTGAATAACACAGTCAAGCTGGGTCTGGACATCTTGGGATAAAACTTCTGCTCTCCTTGGTGTGCTTGTGGCCCACGTGGGAATTTGTCTGACCTTTTCTTTCAGTTATTGTCCTTCTTTTCCATCCAGAAGTGTTTCTACCACGGCTTCCATTCACTCCTTGATCATTTCTGAATCCGTGGAAGGCTTTTAATGTTTTCCTAAAATCCACTGTACTCGCAGTGAACACTCATATGCTCGCTGTTGTGCGGTAAGAGACTGAGTTATTAACCGCGTAGCTCTCGTACTGTCCCCGCAGTTCATTTATTCTTCGCGTCCTAACCTCAGACCCAGGTGGAAAGTTCTGGTGGAAGTGCTTATGTTTGGTTTCGTAATGTCTCTTCAGATTTCCACTCTTTATTAGTCCGACTGTTTCAGAACATATAAGGCAGACTGGCCGTACACCCGACGGAGGTAAAATAAAGGCATAAGCTTCAATCCATTCATCTTTAAATGTCCGATTTTCATAGACCACTTTAATAATAATAATATATATTTTATTTAAAAGCGCCTTTCAGGACACCCAAGGTCACTTTACACAAAACACGTAATAAAATACAATACTTTACGTATTTTTGACAAAGCCATCTTCATTTACTCACTCGTGTTTGCAAGTCATCCTCGTTTTATTAGCAAGTGTGAGCATCCAAGCTAGTTAAATGAAACTTCTATGTTGTTTTTCCCAGTGCGCGCGTGCGGTGAGTGGCGCATTACTGCCACCTGCTGTCGCTGATCTGCATAGCAGCCTGGCGCTGACAGCCACTGCAGCCGTTAGGAAGCAAAGTAAATAAGAAAATGCTTTAAGGTCCGGACAAAACCCTCTCGGGGTCCGGATTTGAACCGGAGTCCGGGGATTGCTGACCCCTGTAATATAGTATAATATAATATAATATAATATAATATAATATAATATAATATAATATAATATAATATAATATACAATATAATGTAATATAATATTATAATATAATTTTTTGTAATGTAATCTAGTGGAGTGGAGTGTAATGTAATGTAATATAGTATAGTATAATATAAT